GCCGAGAGGAGCTAGATCTGGTCCGTCGAATCGGGGAAAAAGAATTTCGGGTGCCCATCCCACAGAAAACATCCGGGCCATGGGAATATCGTGGGAAACCGCAGCAGAAACCCTATGGGAAACCGAGGTCTGGTATCTGCTTTGTCCAGGAATGGGGAAGCCGGGCAGCCTGCGGGCAGCGTATAGTGAAGCGGCCTGACGCAGATCTCGTTTTGCCTCCTATAGCCATACGAGATACGTGCTTGTGACTGACTTCAGGGGTGGCTCCTTTATCTCCTCCTTCTCGGGAAGGCTGTTCTATCCGCTCATCTCCTCTCGACCTATAGGCGGGGCGCGCGGGGTGCGATGCGGTGCGATGCGGCGTGTGCGGTGATGTGTGTGCGGTGTGTGCGGTGTGTGTGCGGTGTGTGTGCGTGTGTGTGCGTGTGTGTGCGTGTGTGTGTGTGTGTGTGTGTGTGTGTGTGTGTGTGTGTGCGCGCGCGCGCGTGCGTGCGTGCGTGCGTGCGTGCGTGCGTGCGTGCGTGTGCGTGTGCGTGTGCTTATTGTGTGAGCACAAGCGACCTTCCAAGAAAAGAATTTCCAGGAAAAGAAAATCAAACCGGGCGCTCGAGACCTCCTCTCGCTGCCTACTCGCTGCCTCGAGGGAGGAGGGGAAGACGTAGGGTTGAGCTGGACTCGCCTTTCCTGAGGCCCCTCCCCGAAAGGGCAAGTCTTTGAGGACCTCCGGTGCGTGAGGACCTCTTCGCGTTGACGACGATTGCTCGCTTCTTCTCTTCGACTGGGCAAAGGATGGTGCCTGCTCTGCGGCCGAGAGGAGCGGGTCGGCAAGCCGCAAGAGGAAAAGAGGTCCGAGCCTTCGAAACAAAACCCGAGCCTCGCAACAGTTCCAAAAGACTTTTTTCTTCCAACTGCCGCGTGGGGGGGGCAGGCGGTCCGACAACATCTCCTGCTTCAATCTGCCGTTCTTACACTTGATTGAGTCGCTTACTTACTTAGATAGTGAGTACACACAGTACTCACACAGTCGCTTAGTTAGGCGGCTCCGGTGGTTTGCCTGTGTTTTAGTGCCAGCACGCGCCAGTCCGCACCTATGCTAGGAACAGGGTCAGAGGATGAATTCGCTGCTACTCAATCAATGTAGAATTTTACAACATCAACAATCTAGAAAACGACACAACGGAATCTTCATCAAGCACAACACCTCGTTGGCCTCACAAATACACCTGCATTTGACAGATGTTTCCCCAACCCAACCCGCACCTCGACTGCTCCTGTGAGCCCATTGCTTGCGTTGCGTCGCGCACCTCTGACGACTGCTTGCTCAAGCTCGGTCTTCACTCGGAGCGCGCGTGGAACAGGTGCGTCAGCGGATGAGTCGCTGCTTACTTCGAAGAACAAGCTACCTTACTCCTTAGCTGTGAGGACCTCTCTGTCAGGGTGAGGACCTCCGCTCCGCATGAGGACCTCCGGTGCGTGAGGACCTCTTCGCGTTGTCCGCGCACACCCGCCGGGCCCGCCCCCATTTGGTCAGGTCTCAGGGTTTTTTGATCACTTTTTGCCGAGCTAGGATTGAAAATTAAAAGAAAACCTCAGATCTGGCTGCAAGCAAGCACGCGTACGATGGGAGACCAGCGTCGACCGCGCCCGCTACACAACCTGTGACGCAACGTCTGCCGGGGGCGGGGTCAAGGATGGGCCGGTCACCACGCAGACGATGCTCTGTGGCATCGTGACCAGCCACAGGCCTCGGTCGCTCGCTCGGTCGAGAGACGCGTCGACCACCTCTGCAGTCAGCCAGCGCCGACTCGGCGGCTTGCAAACCGCAGCTCCGTCCGTCCTAGCCGTGTACGTCCCCCGACCGACAGGAGGCCGTGCCGGCACAGACAGAGCGGCTCGGGTGTCCGCTCGAGGGTCCTGCAACCCGTGGGCCAGGAGACAGGGGCAAACGTGGCAGAAGAGAAGGTAGGAGATGATTAGCAAGGAAAGCGAGGCGGGGCCGACAAACAGCATCCAGATTCGCTCATCAGCGTAGCCGAGCACGCCGTATGCAAGGAGCATTAAGACGCAGTAGACGCAGACGAGCGCGCCGATTGGTTTCGCCGCGTAACGGAGCCAGCGGGCAGAGCGCCACAACCGCTGCCGCATGAGGAGGCAGCAAACGCGTGCCGCAGTGGTCCACTCTGCAAACGCAGAGTCAGCCGAGCGAGGAGGCGGCGGCGCCGGAGGCTGAGGCGTATCGGCAGGCAAGTGTGAGGCAGCCATCACGCTCCCCCGGCTCCTCTGATTGCTGTTACGCGCATTTTCTTTTTTCTGCTTCGCATTCGTTCATTATTGTGCCGCGTCCGGTGCTCCCGAGTCCATTGAAGGGTAACTGATTTCTTTTACGCGTGACTGTCAAGGCTCAGCGGCCCTTCTGATTCAGCCCAAGATGTCGGGCCGCCAGAGCTGGTCGCAGCGGCAGCGTCGTGACCCCATTACGCACCCCGGCTACGAGTGCCCCGTGGGCCGCCAGTACGGGAAGCACTCCATCTGGGAGCCCGACGCGCGAGAGTCGTCCGCCGCCGCCGCAGAGTGCCCAGCTCTCGCGTGCGCTACCTGCTCCGGCCTCCGCCTGACCGTGGCATCCGCCGCGGCCGGATGCTTCCGGATGGTGGTCCTGTCGCGGCCCGACATCGTCTCGTGGTCCGTGACCAAGCTGGGCCACTGGGACGTACGCTCGCCGGAGCAAATCTTCGGGAGGCGCCCTCCTCTGCTGCTGCTGCTGCTGCCGCTGCTTCTCTCTCCTCCTCCTCAGTGTGCCGTTGTGTCGGAAGGTACGCGCTGCCTGCCAGCGGGGCCCTTCTCGACGTGGGCTCGAACCTCGGCTGGTTCTCGTGGCTCTTTGCGCAGGTGCCGTCATCACCATGGCGCTACACACACACACACACACACACACACACACACATACACACACACACACACAAGCACCAACTACCATTATTCTCCTTCCGTGTTCACTGGACCATGACTCCTGTGGCTGGCCCTTTGCGCAGGGCGGACGCCGTGTCTATGCCGTCGAGGCGGACCCCTCGCAAGCTAGCCACCCCCGCGCCAGGCCATCTCGAGCCAACCCTGTCATGGCACGCAGGCCTTCCCTACGAATCAGCGCGCCTACCGCACCACTCTCTGCCTCAACCCTGCCTGGAACGGATCGGCGACGGCTGGCCGGCACCGCCGCGGGCCGGCCCGTGAACGGCGTCCCTTCGCAGCGCCGAGCTGTGAACAGGTGACGCTGGCCGCCACCGCAGTGGGCGGGCCAGACGCAGCAGGGCCGACGGGAAGGAACCCTGTAGGAACCTTCTTGGAACCTTCTAGGCGGGCCAGACGCAGCAGGGCCGAGGGGGAGGAACCTTCCTAGGAACCTTCTTGGAACCTTCTAGGCGGGCCAGACGCAGCAGGGCCGAGGGGGAGGAACCTTCCTAGGAACCTTCTTGGAACCTTCTAGGCGGGCCAGACGCAGCAGGGCCGAGGGGGAGGAACCTTCTAGGAACCTTCTTGGAACCTTCTAGGCGGGCCAGACGCAGCAGGGCCGACGGGAAGGAACCCTGTAGGAACCTTCTTGGAACCTTCTAGGCGGGCCAGACGCAGCAGGGCCGTGCGTGGTAGAGCGAGTTGGGCCGGGGCTGTGCACAGCGGCGTGCAGCCGCGCCCATTCACAGCGCTGCTGTGAACAGGTGAGCGGTTCGGCGGGCGACAACGCTGGGAATGGAGTGCTGCGGTGCGGGCGAGCGGAGGGGTGCGAGGCGGCACGAGCCGGCGGGTTGGCGTGCGAGCCTGCGACGCTCACGACTCTGGCGTCGCTGCTCGAGGGGTGGGGTGGTTGCTCTGTGAACGGCGCCTCTTCACAGAGAGGTGCGGGCTGTGAACAGGACTCGCTGCTCGAGGGGTGGGGGGACCCGCGGTTCGCGGTCGTGAAGATGGACGTGGAGGGAGACGCGAGAGCGCGGCCTGCTCAAGGGCGGTAGCTGGCCCTTCCCGACTCACGAGCCCCTCCTTCGCTTGTCCAGGCGCCGAGTGCGACGTGCTCAAAGGCGGACAGCGCCTCTTTTCGCGCTCGCCGCCGCGCTTCCTCTACGCCGAGCTCAAGCAGCCGCACGTCGAGGCGTGCTGGCGCGAGGCTGCCTTGCGGCGCACGGCCACCGCGCCGCGCCGCCGTGGCTGTGAACGGCGTCCCACGGCGCGTGGCTGTGAACAGGCACGGCTACCGCGCCGCGACGCCTTGGCGGGGCAAGGACCGCAACTTGCTCTTTGTGCGCGAGGAGGCGCCCGCCGTCCCCGCAGGCCCGCTCGGCCCGTACTCGAGCAGTTGCGCCTCGTGGATTTCTTTTCACATTTGTCTTTCTGTTTCTAGGCCCGCTCGGCCCGTACTCGAACTCCTGCTGCGGCTGGACGCCCGAGTCGCGGCTGCTGCCGTGCAACTTCGCCTGCACGGCGGCGGACGCGCACTTCAGCGCGGCAAAGCACCGTTGGGAGCCCGTCGCCAGCGGCACCGCCGCCAGCGGAGGATGAAGTTCTTCGGCCGCGGGGGCAAAGAGGGTGTGGCGCGTCGGCGTAGGTCGGTAGAGGTCGGTTTTGTCTCGAGAGGGTCAGACGAGTTTGTTCTCCTTGAGGTCCCACCAGTGAGTACACCCGCAGCGCTCCTCTACCCATTTGTAATCTCACATGCACGCTCAACACGTTGTTTGTGGTCGGAATGACTCTAGAGCCGGTCCCCTCCATTGAGCATTGTTTTTTACAGCCCCGCGGCCGGCGGGCCCCAAGCGGCAGCGCACCCTCCAGCGGCCAGCGCCGCGGAGCGCGGGTGCCAGCGCCCAGGTTGCCCCCCTCGACGAGTACAGTTGCGAGGGACACGCCCCCCCTTGCCCCACCACCTTGTGTGTGTGGAGAAGTTTACCTTACCTTACCTCACCTTGCCCCCCTCCACGGCTACAGCTGCTCTATTGTCTATCACTAGGCCTGGCCTAGGCCTCATAGGCGCCATGGCTACCGCGACGCAGCGCAAGGCGCGGCATTTGTCTCGCACCAGGACGTGATGAGCCGTGCATCCGGAAGCGCGTCGTCTCGCTCCTGACCTCCGTGCCCTTGGACGTTGGATGAGCTGCCGCGCCGCTGCTCCAGCCCGACGTGCTCGCGAGACTCGGTGCCGCGAGGCTCTCCACTAGATTCTCGACGCGCGCAAGTCCGCTCTCAAACGAACCAAAATCGTTCAGCAGCTCGCGCAGCAACTCCGTGTCTGTCATGACGCCGCGGCTCTTGAGATCTGCACGCCCACGCGCCACTGGCCCCGTCTTGATGTCGTTCGAGAACGTCCTCCCGGCCTTGCCCCGCACGATCCGCTGGATTTTGGTGGCCGCTCTCGCCTCATTCGCCGACGCCCGTTTCTTGCGCTGCAGCACGTACGCCTCAGAAAGGCTGATGAGGACGGCGATCCCGACGCAGCTCCCAAAGACGACGAACAGCCCCTCTTGGTCCTTGAAGTTGATGGTAGGTAATACCTGTGTCGTTGGAGTCGGGCACGATGCGCCGCGCTTCAGCTCGCGCTCTGCGATGGCCTCCGTCACCTCGACCGGCGAGCTTTGCCGGAGCCAGGCGAGGCAGTGCTGCACGGCGGAGAAGAGGGGCCAGCCGACCGACTTGTTTACGGCGAGAAAGGTCTGAGCGGGGTTGCTCTTGGCCATCTGCACGCCAGGGGAGAACTCCCAGTCGCGGCACCGCTCCGGATGTCGGTGGTCGTACAACCAAGACGCCAGCTCGGTGCGCTCCCACAGTATGAGGGACGCATGGCCCTCCCGCACCTTGTCGGCACAGATCGAGACTCTATCCGCGACCGGCACGCTGTATATGGCTTGCCTCTCCTCTGATCCAGGCGGCTTCCCGTCAAAGTCGATGGGCATGAAGGCAGCGATCACGCCGCGCATGGTGACGTTGACCGAGAATCGCTTGTCTAACGCCGCCTGATCGCGCGCGTGGTTGGTGAACTTCGGCTGACACGCCACCTCAGATCGCAGCTCCGGCATTGTCTTCGGGCCCTGGACGGTTCGCCCCGACGCGGTGAAGAAGGCAGCGAGGTTGGCGGTGTAGGAGGCCGCGGTGACAAAGATGAAGAAGAGCCACCCAACCTATTCGCAGGTAGAGATGAGTGGAGCGACGCCGTCCAATCGCTGCGCAAGAGGAGGAGCGACGCCTTGAGCACGCGGGAGGAGATGTTTGTCGTCCACTCCAGCTCGGTATTGCCTAGCAGCTCCGAGACGGAGTGGTAGAGGAGCAGGCCGCGCTGGGACGGCGACGCAAAGAAGAATCCGCCATGAACGCGAGTCTCGTATGTTCTCGGATCGCGCAGTGTGAGCGGCATGACAGTCCCCACCACCAAAAAGGCTACGCCGAGTGCGATCCACAGGTCGCGGGAGAAGGGCGCAAGGAATTGGAAGATGCCATAGTCGCTGCTGTCGTAGTAGACGGGCAGAAGGGCGGCGAAGTCCGACTCGATGAACGAGGTGGTGGTCCAATGGCCCCGCTGCTCTGGTGGGAGCTTCCAGTGACTCATCCTCCAGTGGTTCAAGAAGCGCGCGAGGGGGACGGTCGAGTTGTCGAGTCGGACGCAGTAGTAGACTAGCTCCGCCGTCCCTCCCCACGGCGGGACGAGGTTGTTTTGGCAGTCCTCCTGCTCCAGCCACTCGAGACGCATGAGCGTGTGAGCGGCGATTGCCCTCAGTTGGGCCGCCAGAGCGCCGCTCCACTCGCCCGCCGAGTTCTTCTGCAGCTTTATGAGTGCCTGACCCGTCCAGTCGCCGGTGTAGACGTGGAGGGTGTCGTTGAAGCAACAGCGCTCGGCGCCGTCAAACGCCATACGTGGGGCCGGATTCTAGCCTCAGCCACCGCGCACCGGTTGCCCAGCCTCAGCCACCGCGCACCGGTTGCCCAGCCTCAGCCACCGCGCACCGGTTGCCTAGTCAGCCCAGCCAGGCGGAGATCATTCCGCAAAGTAAAAGTTATAGGTAAGGTAAGGTAAGGTAAACTTCTCCACACACACGAGGTGGTGGGGCAAGGGGGGGCAACCCTCGCGTCTCCACGTGCCTCAACAGGAAGAATTTTTCTTTCGCATTTCACAATGAATTTTTCAACCAAATGCACGCATCATCCCGCGGCCTGGCGGTCGGCGGGATTGCAATCAGTCTTCGCGTGCCGCCTGTCGTTCGCTCGGGCGCCTTGGGCGTCGGGGTGGCGAGCAGGGGACGCGGCTCTGAGCGCCCAGCGACGCGTGCCGGATGGAGTCCGGCCGCGGGTGACTAGGGAAGTTCGCTCAGGATGTGTGGCAGTCAGTTTGGCTGAGTGTCTTGTCTTGTGGTTCTATGTGTCGCTCCTGTGTGACCGTCATCGCCCGTCCTGCGTCCACCCATACCGCGTTGGTGTCCCAGTCGTTGGTCGGACTGTGTTTCGCCTTCCCATCAATCAATCAACCCTTCATTCTAGTATTACACCTTCCTATGTAAACACCCGCGATCACTGATCGTGACGTTGTCAATCCGATGCCCACGCAAGAGAAGAAGCCCCAACTTCATGCATCGGATGATCCTGCCATCGGATGCGCTCTGCCTCCGGTCTCTATCCTAGCTCGGTGTCAGCCCACAGCTCAGGGGCCGGCCCCACGATGGTCAACATCTGCGTGAGGACCTCTGTGAGGACCTCTGCACGTGTGAGGACCTTTAATCTTCCGGCTCGATCTCACATCTTCCACGCACCCTCCTGGACGCCAACCGTGGCCTACCGCCACAGTCCCACAGTAGTCCCACAGCCAGTCGTGGCGCCACTATAGCCTGTATAGCGCTTGGATGGGGCGTTTGTGAGGACCTCTGCCATAGGCCTCTGAGGTCCTCCGGCGAGGTGAGGACCTCTGCACTTGTGAGGACCTCTGCTTCCAGCCCACATCTTCCAGGTGCAGAGCCACCCTCCTGGACGCCCCCCGTGGCCTACCCACACAGTTCCACAGTAGTCCCACAGCTAGTGGAGTGCGGCACCTGAGGCGGCCGGGATGGGGCGTGTGTGCTTGGCAGTATCGGTGGCGAGCATTTCGGCTGATGAACTTCATGTTAGTAAGAAGACGTCTATTTCTGTCCCCTTCAATGTGCGGAACGTTCCAAACAATGTGCGGACTGATCACACGACACACGTGACGTTCACAGACCTTGTTATTGAGAAGAAAATACGTCCTATGGCGCTGTGCGCTGGTCTGTGAGAGATTGAGTTGCCTGGAGGCGCTGGGGATGGGGGGAGACTACCCGCGGGCCTAGAAGGTTCACACCTCGGGGACGGGTGAGTGTGCCACTAGGTGCCACTGTCACACAATGACAGAAGCCCAGTCACGGGCACCATAGATACCTCACATGACCCCCCACACAGTTTTCCGGCCTTGCGGCCGGCGAGATTGCTAGAGGTGGAGCAGGAGCAGCCTGCTCTAGCCTAACACGTTACCCCCTGTCGGAGTGTCGAGAAGTGAACAGCGTCTATTCACAGTAGTTCAAAGGAGGCGCAGCGTCCCAGCGTCCAGCGTACCTTACCGCAGAGGCGCTCGCAGATCGGCGCGCAGCGCCGCGCACGCCACGCCCCCGCCGGCACCTTGATATGGCGAGGCAGCGAGCAGGCTCCTGCCCGTCGCCGCGGGCCGGCGCGTCGTACGGCTCGGACACCGAGCCCGATGCGGCGTCGGTCGGCGCCAGCTCAGTCGGCTCCAGCGTCCGCGCCGCCTCGCCGCGCGCGTTCCTGAGCCGGACGCTCGGTGCTCCGGTACGCGGCCTGCAGAGCGTCAGGGCGAGGGCGGTGACCAAGTTTGACCAGACGCACGACGAGATCCTCGACCGGCAGGTCAGCCGCATCATCGCTACCGCGGGAGGCGTCGCCAAGGAGAGCGCAAAGGCGGCCTACATGCCCCCGCGTGTCGCTGGCTTTGTCGACGGAGTGATGACCCGGATGTGGGAGGAGGTCGGCGAGGAGCTCAAGAGCGGCATCATGGCATCGTACGGCCGGACCGACAAGAAGCACCGCGAGCTCCGGCTGAGCCAGTGGGCAAAGGCGCCCCCCCTGCAGCTGGACAACATCCCTGCCTGGGTGCGCGCAAAGGTGGGCGCTGCACACGCCGCGACTCAGCCGTGGCGGAGGGGCGAGGGAGTGCGTCTCGACTGGTGCTAACCATTCCTATGCCGACTGCATGGGGCTGTAGGTGCTATACGCGACTCAGCCGGCGGACGCGACCATCTGGAAGGTGACGCAGGATCCGGTCAGCCGCGTCGATCCTCGCCATCAAGTGCACTTCCTACGACACTTCCTAGACACTTCCTGGACACTTCCTAGGTCAACGCGTCGATCCTCGCCATCAAGCTCCTCCCATTCTTCGGAGTCAACGTGCTCATCTTCGCGTACCTGTTTGCTAACATCGACCGCAAGGACACTTCCTAGACACTTCTTAGACACTTCCTAGACACTTCCTAGACACCTGTCTGCTAACATCGACCGCAAGGACGACTCGAGTACCGCCGCGGGGGGGTTCGTCTTGCTGGATTTCGTTTCGAGCCGTGTTTCGTCTTTGTAGGACGAGTACCAGCTGGTGCAGTTCATCCTCTCCTTCAAGGGCTTCCAGTTCATCACCGCGCTCTCGCTCGCCGTCAAGGGCGCGCTCAAGTTCTACTACTGCCTCAACCAAGGCGAGCGGTCCACCTCCCTTCCGTATTCAGTGATTGTTTGTCAAGTCGCCAAGTCCCGCTACTACGCCCTCGCCCGACCGCCTCTCCTCATCATCGCAGAAGAAGTTTGTCGACGGCTGGTTGCTCATTGACTTAGGCGCCATCGACCCGACGGGCGGAGACCAGTTCGACATCGCTCGCTGTTCGCTCGTCACGATGGGCGGGTTAGACACCTCCTAGACACTTCCAGACACCTCCTAGACACCTCCGAGACACTTCCGGGACACTTCCGAGACACTTCCGAGCTCTTCCTAGACACCTCCTAGGCACCTCCTGGGCACTTCCTAGAGACACCTGCTCGCTCGCCACGCCGGGCGGGGACTCTACATCTACTCTATAAGGCACTCTTATACATCTACTCGCTGATACATCTACTCGCTCGAATGGGAAATGGCTAATTGTCAAAGACCCAGTATTTGCTGTCTGGTGACAAGGTACTCGGCGTACATCTACTCGCTCGAGCTGCTGCGCTGCGCTCTCCTCTTCACCGCCGCGCACCTACTCGCCAGCGGGAAGGTGTGGCACTTCCCACACTCCCTAGACACTCCTAGAACACCTCTCCTCTTCACCTCACTCGCCAGCGGGAAGGTGTGGCACTTCCCACACTCCCTAGAACACTCCTAGAACACCTCTCCCACTCACTCGCCAGCGGGAAGGTGTGGCACTTCCCACACTCCCTAGAACACTTCCAAGAGACACCTGCTCGCGGGAAGGAGTGCGGAAGTAGCAGCAGCTGCTTCATGCCCCCAGGCGTACGCGGGCGGGCTGGGTGAGGTCCGGGCCCACTCCCTCTAATTGATCAACTGCCCACACTCTCACTGGCAGGCGTACGGCGGGCTGGGCGAGATCCGGGCCCTCGAGCAAGTGCGGCACGAGATATGGGGGAGATGGGGGGGAGATCCGGGCCCTGGAGCAAGTGCGGCACGAGATATGGGGGAGATGGGGGGGAGATCCGGGCCCTGGAGCAAGTGCGGCACGAGATATGGGGGAGATGTGGGGGAGATATGGGGGAGATAGGGCCCTCGAGCAAGTGCGGCACGAGATGTGGGGGAGATACGGGGGAGATGTGGGGGAGATTGGCCGTAGATATGGGGGCGATATGGGAGATATGGGGGCGATATGGCCGTAGGTGCGGCCCGACATGGCGGACGGGAGATGTGGGGAGATATGGGAGATATGGGGGAGATATGGCCGTAGGTGCGGCTCGACATGGCGGACGGGAGATGTGGGGAGATATGGGGGAGATATGGGGGCGATATGGCCGTAGGTGCGGCTCGACATGGCGGACGGGAGCCTCGACGGGGACGTCGACCGGAAGAAGATGCTGCCGCACAAGAAGACGCGTCTAGGAAGTGTCTAGGGAGTGTCTCGGAAGTGTCTATAGGAAGAAGATGCTGGAGGAGAAGAAGAAGCGCGCGGCGGGCTATCTGCCAAAGGCGAGGTCGAGGCTGATCAACTGGAACCAAAGCAAGGGATCGGCGGCGGCTCCTGCCTCTGCCCTGCCTCTGCGGCTCCTGCCTCCGCCGCTGCTGTCGCCGAGGCGAGACCACTCACCCAGCCTCGGATCAGCGCAGGATGTGGTGGGGTGTGTCTCGCGGCAGGTCTCCGTGGGCTCGACGGCGGTGGCGAATTCTGTCTCGGGCGGGCTCGACTCTCTCCGCGGGCTCGACTCTCTCTGGCGACACTTCCTAGACACTTCCTAGACACTTCCTAGACACTTCCTAGACTCTTCCTAGACACTTCCTAGACACTTCCTAGACCGCGCTCGACTCTCTCCGCGGGCTCGACTCTCTCTGGCGAGAGAGTTCGTCGGGAGTCGGAATGCGCGTCGGTCAAGGGACGGCGGCTGAGGCGCTGTGAATTGGATGAGCAGGAAAGAGGGCCTCGAGTCGCCGGCGACGCTGAGCAAGGAGGTGCAGCGAGTCAGCAGCCAGGCATCTCCCCACATCTCCCCACATCTCCCCACATCTCCCCACATCTCCCCACATCTCCCCACATCTCCCCACATCTCCCCACATCTCCCCCGGCGAGTCAGCAGCCATACACCTGTACCCCCCCCCCCCACGGCTGGGGACGCTCCTCTCACAGCCGCGACGACAAACAGCGCCCCTTGCATGCTCACAGGGGGAGATACGGGGGAGATACGGGAGATGTGATCACAGGCGCTCGAGTTTGCCGACCGGCTTTTCGACGACGACGAGATCCTAGCCGCGACAGAGGCGGCGCGCAAGACACAAGAGGCAGAGGTGAGGAGGGGGGGGGGGGGGGGGTACCTGCCCCGGCCTTCATGCGGTGCTCAGTCCTCAGTCATGAGTCATGAGTCATTCACAGGTGAGGACGGGGGGGTACCTGCCTGCCTTCATGCGGTACGATGCCTACTGCGTGGCCGTCATCTTGGCCCTCGGCTTCGGGCGGCTCCTCCTCTCAGGGTGCAGCAGCCCGCTCGCCCCGCCTCGCACTGGACGCGCCCTTGGAGCACTCCCTTGGAGCACTGTCTCCCTTGGAGCACTCCCTTGGAGCAGTTGGAGTGCGGTAATCAGCCTCACACCAGGGCCGGGGAGCCGTGAAGCTCTAGCGGGGGCCGGATGATCGGGATATCGCTGCCTCACTGAAGTGAGGAAGGAACGGCCTACCCAGTCATGAGAGCTCCTCCCCCTGCGAGCAGGCAGCTCTCCCATATCTCCCCATATCTCCCCATATCTCCCCCTGCGAGCAGGCAGCTCTCCCATATCTCCCCATATCTCCCCATATCTCCCCCTGCGAGCAGGCAGCTCTCCCATATCTCCCCATATCTCCCCATATCTCCCCCTGCGAGCAGGCAGCTCTCCCATATCTCCCCATATCTCCCCATATCTCCCCCTGCGAGCAGGCAGCTCTCCCATATCTCCCCATATCTCCCCATATCTCCCCATATCTCCCCATATCTCCCCCTGCGAGCAGGCAGCTCTCCCATATCTCCCCATATCTCCCCATATCTCCCCCTGCGAGCAGGCAGCTCTCCCATATCTCCCCATATCTCCCCATATCTCCCCATATCTCCCCATATCTCCCCCTGCGAGCAGGCAGCTCTCCCATATCTCCCCATATCTCCCCATATCTCCCCATATCTCCCCCTGGGAGCAGGCAGCTCTCCCATATCTCCCCATATCTCCCCATATCTCCCCCTGCGAGCAGGCAGCTCTCCCATATCTCCCCATATCTCCCCATATCTCCCCATATCTCCCCATATCTCCCCCTGCGAGCAGGCAGCTCTCCCATATCTCCCCATATCTCCCCATATCTCCCCATATCTCCCCCTGCGAGCAGGCAGCTCTCCCATATCTCCCCATATCTCCCCATATCTCCCCATATCTCCCCCTGCGAGCAGGCAGCTCTCCCATATCTCCCCATATCTCCCCATATCTCCCCCTGCGAGCAGGCAGCTCTCGCATATCTCCCCATATCTCCCCATATCTCCCCCTGCGAGCAGGCAGCTCTCCCATATCTCCCCATATCTCCCCATATCTCCCCCTGCGAGCAGGCAGCTCTCCCATATCTCCCCATATCTCCCCCTGCGAGCAGGCAGCTCTCCCATATCTCCCCATATATCCCCATATCTCCCCATATCTCCCCCTGCGAGCAGGCAGCTCTCCCATATCTCCCCATATCTCCCCATATCTCCCCCTGCGAGCAGGCAGCTCTCCCATATATCCCCATATCTCCCCATATATCCCCATATCTCCCCATATCTCCCCCTGCGAGCAGGTAGCTCTCCCATATCTCCCCATATCTCCCCATATCTCCCCATATCTCCCCCTGCGAGCAGGCAGCTCCCCCATATCTCCCCATATCTCCCCATATCTCCCCATATCTCCCCATATCTCCCCCTGCGAGCAGGCAGCTCTCCCATATCTCCCCATATCTCCCCATATCTCCCCATATCTCCCCCTGCGAGCAGGCAGCTCTCCCATATCTCCCCATATCTCCCCATATCTCCCCATATCTCCCCCTGCGAGCAGGCAGCTCTCCCATATCTCCCCATATCTCCCCATATCTCCCCATATCTCCCCATATCTCCCCCTGCGAGCAGGCAGCTCTCCCATATCTCCCCATATCTCCCCATATCTCCCCATATCTCCCCATATCTCCCCCTGCGAGCAGGCAGCTCTCGCCCTCGCATTGGATGTTCTGGACGACGCTCTACTACATGAAGATGGCGCGCGCTAGTTAGCCGAGATTAATCGAGATAAGCCGAGAGGAGCCGAGGACGACGCTCTACTACATGAAGATGGCGCGCGCTAGTTAGAGATGAGCCGAGATGAGCCGAGATGAGCCGAGATGAGCCGAGAGGAGCCGAGAGGAGCCGAGAGGAGCCGAGAGGAGCCGAGATGAGCCGAGATGAGCCGAGAGGAGCCGAGGACGACGCTCTACTACATGAAGGTGGCTTGCTCTCCTTCCCCTCCCCCCTCTTGGACAACTCATCATTACGCGTGCTTCCTCAGGCCTACGGCTTGCTCTCCTTCCCCTTCCTCATCTTCCGCCTCCCCCTCTTGGGCAGAGGGCTGGTCCGCGCCCTCCCCACCGCCTACGACCAGAGCGGCGAGATGTAGCCGAGAGATCGCCGAGAGATCGCCGAGAGATCGCCGAGAGATCGCCGAGAGATCGCCGAGAGATCGCCGAGAGATCGCCGAGAAATCGCCGAGAGATCGCCGAGATATCGCCGAGAGATCGCCGAGAGATCGCCGAGAGATCGCCGAGAGATCGCCGAGAGATCGCCCACCGCCCACGACCAGAGCGGTTCCCTCGCGGTGCGGAGCCTGACTCGTGCAGCCTTGAGGACCAGCGCCAAGACTGGCTGTGTTGTGCAGCCTCACCGAGGCAGGCTGTGTGTGGTGTGCAGGCGCCCTCGTGCAGAAGCTGACCTCGGCGCTGATGAAGAGGAAGAAGAAGCTGGACGACCGCGCGCGGGCAAAGGCGCAGGA